ATTTTTTTTTAATAGGAAAAAATTGTTTCGAAGTAAAATCCTCGTAAAGGTTTCGAGGTAAATTCCTCGTAAACTTTCCTAGCAAACTCCTCGTAAAGTGTCTACTACGAGTTTACGAGGAAGTGGTTTACTATGCCCTTACGAGGAAAGTATACGTGGAGCTTACGAGGAAATGTTTTCCACGGCTTTACGAGGAAACTTTCCCTCGTAAATTAGCTAGGCCTTTACGAGGAAAATAGCCTTTACGATGAACGTCTTTCGACGAAACACCTTTCCTCGCTATTTCCTAGTAAAGGGCCATTTACTAGGAAATAACGAGGAAAACCCGTCCTAGTAAAGGACGTGTTTTCTTGTAGTGTTTTTGTTTTTCACTTTTAGTAGATTATGAAACAAGATGCATCAAAAAGTAAGAGAAGAAGTTCTTGGATCCTGAATTAATTTTACGTTCAACTCAAAATAATGGACAGACAGTAGAAAAAATACAACAACACATCGAATGATACATATAGTGCAGTATATTTGATATATGGTTTCAGACAGTTTTAGCGGTAAACTAAACCTTGTTTTAGTTATTTAATATCCTGAATATTTTACCAGCGAAATGATTCTGAATCTTAGATCTTAATTTTTGGGTACAAGTTTGGAGCCAGCCTATGTTTCGCACATGCGAGTAGAGGCTTCGCCATGAACAAGTTGCTATTTGCATGAACGAGCTCAACTTGATTTTTACCATTTAGAAGGGTCCATTCGAACCCTTGAAGTAGCCTGGCTAGCAACATTATGGTCATGGATGTCCCTATTTTGGTACCTGCACAGCCACGCCTACCAGTGCTGAATATCACAAACCGCATCTCAGGCTCCATCAGAGTCACTTCCATTGAGCTCCCAACACGGCCATCAAGGTGTCGCTCTGGCTTAAACACGTTTGCCTCGTCCCATATTTTAGGATTCCGACCAAGCCCTACACGGCTTACAAGAACTTGACTACCTATTATTCCAATCAGACAAATCACACATGTCATATAATTAGATTATCTCATGTTCAAATACTATATCTCATTTGTTGTTTCAATTATCCTGTCGGAATTTAATAGCCAGTATAGTAGTCATGTTTAATTTAATTGAATGAAGAAGTAAGTTACTACGTTTTAATATTTAACTAGACCTTGATCCGCGCATCCGTGCGGGTATTTATTTTTATTTTTATATGCATAGATGTTATTTACATATTTATCGGTTAATATTTAAAATATTTATCCTAGCGTGGTACTTGCTTTTATTTTTATATACATAGACATTATTTACATGTTTATCGGCTAATATTCTAAACATTTATTATATTTTAATTTTTTATAAACACGATAGTCAAATAGTTTACGTGATGTAAAAATAGTTATCTGTGTGCCTTACTAAACCATTCGACACATATTAATCTATTGATATGTTTTAGTAATACATATTTCTTTTTACACTAAATTATTTTCTAAATGTGATCATATTTTAAATATTTTGATTATATATGGTACCATAACTTAGATACGAGTCATATATAACAGTTAAGACGATAAGAACTCACTAACTTAGATATGAGTCATATATTATATATTATGTCAACGTACTAAATGAATGGCTGTTACCTTTTGGAATGAAATAACCAGCGAGAGTTGTATCTTGTCGGGCTCTATGAGGAGGTATGAAGGCATTAGCTGGGTGAAGACGGAAAGATTCTCTACTACAGGCTTTGATGTAGTTGAGTTGTTGTATGTCTGATTCTTGCACAAGTCTATCTTTACCAACTACCATGTCCAGTTCACTTATGGCTTTATCAAGAATCTCTGGATGATTCAGCATTTCCGCTATAGTCCATTCAACGTTATTCATGGTGTTGTCAATTGTTGCAACATTGATATCCTACAAATGGAATGATATATGCATAAGACATTAAACCCTAATTATTTTTAATTTGTCATAACCTGATTGTGTGAATATCATCAGTTACCTTGCATTGAGCCCTAATCTCATCAAATGTGAACAAAGGCATTCCTTGGTCATCTTTTAGCGTGATGAGAGTATCGAGCCAATCTTCTTTAGTCTCTTTTCCTCCTTTCTTCCTCCATAAATTCATTCTCTCATGGATGATAGGGTCGTTGCATCTGTTGATAATATCAACCGCTTCTCTAACTTCCGCCTCCTCTCCACCGATGTTCCAACCTCTAAGGAAAGGTATATAATTCGTTACGTTAAAACTGTAAAAACAATCTAGAGCTCGATATATTGCGTCCATGTGCTCTTTCTCTTTTAGCCCTAGACCTCCATCATGGGCCACTTCATCAAAATGCCTCTGGCCGAACATCATCCTCATCATCACGGCGTGGCAATAAGTTAAGATAACATCTCTCACGTTAATAGGCTTCGTCATTGACCCTGACCGGGATAGATTGAAGACATACGTGACGATATTATCTGCTTCAAGGGTTCTATCACCGAGGGTTTTATTCAACATAGTCGGAGACATTAGTTGTGTGGTCATGACTTTCTTCATACGCTTCCAACTCTCTCCGTAGGAAGAGAAAATAACTTCTCTGTAGCCATGGCTTATGAGATCGCTCGAGTACGATTCCGATCTGTCTGCAAGAGCCTCGTCTTTTTCCCTAAGCACTTCTCGGGCAATCTCGCTTGAGGTTACAGTGATGACATTAATGCCTGAAAAACGGAAGCAAGCTATTTCCGTCTGCATTTTCTCCATCAAGCAGTGGATCCACACGTGAGAGAGTCTGTTAAAGATCAGGTGGAACAAGTTCCCAATGACAGGTGGGCCAGGAGGAAGCTGACCTTTTGGTTTTTTGGATTTCAAGGAACGTACTGCGAGACCCAAGACCAAAGTAAAGAAAAAGAGAACAAGCGTGAAACTAGATGGATTCATAATACTCGTGTTCTTCACCGAGACTATTTATCTGAAAGCTAGTAGTGATGAATCTTACTACACAATGGATAATAAGAAACCTTGCCTTAGTATCAATTTATACATGCCACGCTCTAATGGAAAATGACTAGACGATTAGTTTGGATAAGTATAAACATGTTCTATTGATCAGCTTAGCTCTTTATTGGTATATATCTGTAGTGATCACTATTCACTAGCAGACTCTCGAATGCATACATATAGTTGCACTTGGGTTTGATGCATACAATACAAAGTATTATTGATCTTGGCATGTTCCATACATAACTGATAACTCTATATAATATTACTAGGTGTTTTGTCTGCACATACGGACATAATTTTCTTACAGGCACTTACTATTTCATATTTTATTAATTCAAAAACAACATTTATGTTATAAAATTAATTATAAATGACAACACTCACAAAGCAGAATATTTAAAAATATATAATTTATACAAATGTTTTACTGATTTATATTTAAGTATAAATTTTTATATCTTAATTTTTATTTCTGTAAAAGAAAAATATATATTCAAGATAACAATATAATACATAAGAAGTATCTTATTTTCTAAAATATAATATTATTAATTTAAATCTTTTTTGTTGTATAAAGAATATATGAAATTATTGAAAACAAGAAAAATAAGGAAAATAAAATGAATCCTGGAGAAGTTACATATCATCAAATTCACTTAAATTTTATAATATAAAATTTCAACATAACAATCTAATACATAAGAATTATCTTATTTTCTAAAAGTATAATATAAAGATAAATTTATTTTTATCATATAATAAATTATATATAAAAGGGCAAATCTCCAAAATAGCACATTTCTAAGTTTATGTCACAAAATAGCCATAAAACTAAAATCACCAAAATAGCCTTTTATCTTTTGAAAGTTTTTGAAAAAAAATTATTTTTCAAAAATTGAAATCTCATCCCTAAAACCCCACTCCCCAACTCTAAGCTCTAAAACCTAAATTCTAAACCCTAAATTCTAAACCATAAACCCTAAATCACACCCCTTAACCCTAAACCCTAATGTCTAAATTAATTTATCATTGGGATATAAGTACATATTTATCTCTTTTGATAAAACATTAAGTGCTATTTTGGTCATTTTTATTCTTAAGTGCTGTATTTGTGACAAAAACTTTTTTAGTGCTATTTTAGTCATTTTCTCTATATAAAATTATGAAAATATGACAAATAAACAAAATTACTAAAATCATGGAGAAGTTGACAAATCAGTATTGCTTGATTTATATATCTTAATTTTAATTTCTATAATATAAAATATATTTTCAAGATAATATATAATACATAAGAATCATCTTTTTTAAAAAAATATAATCTTATTAACATAAATTCATTTTATTATATAGTAAATTATATAGAAAATTATTTAAAACATGATAAATAAGCAAATACTAAATCACAAAGAAGTTACAAATCAATCAACAAATTCAATTAAATTTTATAATAGAAAAATATATTTTAAGATAACAATCTAAGACAAAAGAATTAAATTTGTTTCTAAAAATATAAAACTATTAATATTAATGATTTTTTATTATTAAAACATGAAAATAAGTAAAATTATTTAAAAATCATGAAAAATTTAACAGCTAAGCAAATTAGTTTTCAAATAATAATATAGATTGTTCTTGGCAAAACTATTTTTCTTTAAACAAAAATTTCCAATAAAGATTGATGCACGTGTGAGGTCATCCTCAACCATAGTTTTTCATAGGCTTTCTAAAAGAAGAAGAAAGAATATAACACGTTTTTCATAGACTATTCAAATATTAAAAAATATGCAAGAAAAGAAAGAGTACAACACGTATCTAAGAGGATAGACTCCTCGCAAAAGGTGATGATGTAAAAGATTATGGTAATGATTAATGAGTGATGTTAGCGAGACGAGACGGATTTGTAACAGTGAACCTAAAAATGAACTGATTAAAATATTGTATTTGCTTTTTTATTTTGCATTTTCTATAAAAATTCTTAAGAAACCACGAACACTTTTTCCCATACGGCCATACCTCACAAAAACAATACGCAATTGAAAACCACACATACACACAAATAGTTGTGTGTTTCTCTTGTCTTTTAGTCTTTTGTATATTTTTTTTTTTAACCATAAAAACTAAATGACTGGTAAAATAATCTATCAGACATTTTTAGCAAAAAAAAAAAAAATAATCTATCAGACATTATGAACACAAAGGCACGTAATACATATACGTATCCCAACTCTATTGTAATAAAAACTATTTTATAGACAAATTATTTTAGCAATAACTAGTAACAGTACTATTATTACCCGTGGTTAATTCCATATTATTATTTTTTAACCATAAAAACTAAATGACTGGTAAAATAATCTATCAGACATTTTTAGCAAAAAATAATAATAATCTATCAGACATTATGAACACAAAGGCACGTAATACATATACGTATCCCAACTCTATTGTAATAAAAACTATTTTATAGACAAATTATTTTAGCAATAACTAGTAACAGTACTATTATTACCCGTGGTTAATTCCATATTATTGGTTCAAAAGTAATATCATCTATATATTAAAAGAGAATCATTTAAAAAATTATAACCTTAAGTTTGTAATAAATAAAAATAACATCAATCTTATGTAACATAGCTCTTTGTCTTCTATTTCAATTTAAAATGATTCTAGAGCATATAAACCCCTACATATTATTTGAGAATTATTTAAAAATTATAACCTTAAGTTTGTATTAATTAAAAATAACTGCAATCATATGTGGCATATCTCTTTGTCTTCTAAATTTTGTTTAACACAATTCTAGAGCACATTACATATACTATAGTTTATCATACATTTACTAGAAAGATGTTGGTCACATATCTTATTAATATTAAAAATTTATTATTCATTATTTCCTTAAATAAAAGCTATGAAATTACCTAATGTGATTAAAAGATATATGAAAATTAATAATTTCAGTAATAAAGATTTGCTAACAATTTTTATACCCTCTACCATTTTTGTTTGAATATTTGTTATTAAAATAATTTACACAATTACATTACTTATATAATAAAAAATATTTTTTCGTATATACTGTATTTTGAATTTTTTAAAACTGGTATAAATTACTAAATTGACAAATATCTCAAATAGACTTTTTGTGATCAATGGTTTAAATTTTTATTGTAATAAGATACAAATATTTATAAAATACATGAGTAAGACGTCTTATTTAATACGTTTATATTAGTACATATATAATTTAAATTAAATTACATACCAACCCTAGATAGTAGTGCTCTCACACACACGTAATGATATACAATAATTTTAAAGTTCACATGTTAATTACAATTGTTTCAATCTTTTTTATTATATATTTATCTTTTTCAATTTGCATTTGATTATTAAATAAACTAATATATGCATCAAAAATCCTGTTTGAAAATTATTTTATATTTAATTTATACTAAATTAGTATATTTTTATGTTTATTTAGATAATATAATATTATATATAAAGGTTTATATGTTACTTTTATACATTTATTATATAGTTAGTAATGTTAACCCATTCTTCCAACGTATTATATTTAACATTAATATTTTATATTTATGAAAATAATATAGATTAATTGATAAATTTAATAAAATTTTTACTATAATAATTTTTTTTTATGATACATTATGATTTTATAACAGATAGATAAAAGATAGAATTTTTATTTTATTTTATAAAATATAAATATATATATATATATATATATATATATATTAATGTATAATTATATACATTATCAATTCAAAATTAGTAAAATATTGACAAAATTTTTTAAGAGTTAAGATCTGTATAAAATATTTTCAATAGATATTTTGTAATTTTGAATATATATTTGTATGTAAAATGAAAAAAATATCAAAAGATATTATAATTAATAAAAGTTTCTAGTGATGGTCCATTTTTAAAAAATCATACATGAATCATGGTCATAACTTCTGTTTTAATGTACAAGATAAATTTTTTGTGTCATCATGTATACTAATTAATATGAAATATTTAAACTATGTCATATTAAAAGAAAAATATAGTTTTCTTATGATTAAAAGAAATTACAGATTCTATCAGCGTTGTACATTTAGAGTTGTGGTAATTACATTGACCTATTTAGACTCGTTAAATTTATTTAAAATTTTTAATATTCCAAAATATTTTATAGTTTAAAAATATATTTGAAGTATATTTTTAGAAAAAAATACATTTAATTTTAATTTTAAAAAATTGAAAAAATTGAAATATATATATATACAGATTATTTACATTATTTATTATATAAATGAAATTGTAATTAATTACACAATATTTATACTAACTTAAATATTTAATTGTTTATAATAATATATATAAAAAGTTATAAAGTTTTGTTATAGTTAAAGAAATTGGAGAACTATATTCACAATTAAAGTATTGAAAGATTTATGAAATACAATTATAGAATAAATATATAAAAATATCAAAGAAAATTTACCTCGTTAGAAAATAATGTGTATGGTTAGTAATTAAAGTTGTTACATATTTTATTGAGTTGTTGTGTAAGATTTATTGTATGCGATTTATGAGGCTACTGGGTCCCATTATATATCATTATATATACTGTGGAATACGGCAATTAAGTGAATGTAGATCTTATGTTAATTAATAACTAATATATGGTATGCCAAAAATACATGAAGGTTAATTAAAAATAACTATCCAATAAGACTATTTGTAGGTAGATAATAATATGACTCTATTTTAATAGGTTAGACTAGATTTTGACCCGCGCAACCACGCGGGTGTTTGTTTTCGTTTATAGTTAGTTATATAAACATTTTATTTTCACTTGTAAATTAGTATATATTATAGTAATCACATATTTACTATATGTATAGTAAATATTTTTCAAACATAAT